AACTTGCAGCTGAATTAAATAAAATCTATCGACCAATTATTGGTCGACCACCAATTGAAGAAGAATGTCCTGATTTATTACAAATAATTGAAGAAATTGCAAAAGTTGGTGGTGCTGCTGATGATAATCGACGTTCACAAACAATTCGACCTTGTTTAACATTAGATGATTTACGTGAAAAAATTAAAGAACGTGGTTATGACATCAAACGATCAACACTTTATTATCGGTAAGATTTCTCACATTACATTAACAATGATAGATAGAATCGATCAGATTTTGTCCATGAATAGTGCATTAAACTAGAACAAAGCTTTCAATATTAGTTTTATCTATGATTATTATCTATTTGAGTGATATGTTCAATAACAAAACAAAAAAAAAGCTATTAATGCCATCCGTACGGGATTCAAATGTGAAACACGATGTAGCTACTGTTGCTAATCATTAGAGAGATTGTTTTATTCTATCTATTTTGGGACACATTTCTTTACCATCGTTTTATTTAGTCCTTCAGATATGCAATAAGAAAGTAGTTCAAATATTATAACGAGACGTTATTGATATATGATCCTTGATCGTATATCAACAATGTCTGTCATAGTCTGTGGAAGGAGGTCCAAATTTTTATTCATATACTTCAATACTTCTGTGCATGTATTAATCGAGACTGCTGATTGAACTCTATCTTTATAACTCAGAGAAATCGGGTGAATAACTAACAATCTATTCAAGAAAAACAAACATTAGATGTATGTATAAATATGAATCGTTACCCAAAAGCAAGTAGTAGTTGCTTGAAAAAAATTTCCCTAAATCCTCTATAACGGTTCCTTATTTTAAAGCTTCTGTTTGCTGCGGTTTTCTCGATTTCACAACAAAAAAAATATAGTTTTCATCTTTTCGGAATATTTTGATAGATTCAAAAGGTAAATATCAACATTCAATTGTTGTTTTTACCAGTAAGATCATCTATGAGTTGAGTCTATGGGACAATTCTTTATTTTTCACATACTACTCTCATACTCGCGCAATGCTACATGTGATTGAATCACTTGTCTAGAAATTGAAGTTTGTGAGAAGCAGTGTTTCATCTTTCGGAAGGATGAACACCTATTGTTGAGAGTATAGACACATAATACATGTTACGAGAACTACAAGCTCCAGAAGAACCAACCCGATCTTCGGAGAGACGCCGCTCCCATGCTGGATAAAATACTGGTGAGGACTGAAATATGAACTACGTTTCTGTCAAATATGTGACCAATAATGAACTGTTCATTTATTATTCTTTCTTTTTGTTAATTTTTATAAAAGGTTATTACCACATCGTTCAAATTCAATTGATGGTAAAAAACATGTTCGAACAGTTCCTGTACGTTTACGAAAAGCTCAAAATGATGAACATAGCAAACATGAAGGTTTGAAAAAGAAAAATTCTTCATAAATATTTCTCAAAAAAAAAAAATTTTATTTCATTTTTATTAGATGGTCATTTTGCAACAGCAACAATACGTTATATAAAAGATTTAGCTGGTATATTTGGTAATGATGTTGTTTTTTTCTTATCACAAGATGATAAATGTAAAGTACCTATTGGTTTACCGGCTGCTAAAATTCAAGCACCTATGCTTATGCATTTGGATTATCGTGTTCGTTTACCTGATCATGATTGGACAGTAGCACCTCGTCATCAATTAACACCAAGGTAAAATTACGTATTTTTTTTTGTAATTATGAAACAAAAAAAGAAATTTAAATATTCGTTTTTTTTTTTCGTTCTAGTGTTTATGCTGCTTGTATGATGAATGATAATAATGATGTCGGTTATTCAGGTCCAACTTATATTGCAATTCGTTCAGCTAAACATGATCGAAGTGATGCAAGTAGTCATGCATGTGATTTTGATCGTCTTGTTGGTCTTAAAGAATTCGATAAATCTGCACGTGATTATACAGGTCAAGTTAAACCAATTGTTATTATAACTGTTGATGGTGGACCTGATGAAAATCCACGTTTTCCAAAAACACTTGTTGCTAGTATAAGAAAATTTCGTAAATATAATATAGATGCATTATTTGTTCTTACACATGCACCTGGTCAATCAGCATATAATGTTGTTGAACGACGTATGGCACCATTATCACATGATTTAGCTGGTCTTATTTTACCTCATGATCATTTTGGTACACATTTAAATGATTCAGGTGTAACTGTTAATCCAGAATTAGAAAAAACAAATTTTAAAAAAGCTGGTGAAGTTTTAGCTGAAGTATGGTGTGGTTCAGTTATTGATGAATATCCTGTTGTAGCTGAATATATTGATCCACCTGCATCAAGTGAAGATGAATTACGCTTTATTGATGTTAATCTCATTGTGAATAATATTTTGGATCGGTAAGATTAGTTTTTTTTTTTTTTTTAAGAAAAGATAATATTTTCTAATGATTATTTTAGTGTATGTGAAGAAGAAGAAGCAGAAGAACCAATTGAACGTCGTATTCGACAAACTGATGAATATTATCAAGAACGAGTTCGTGCTCCACGTATTACATCTAATGGAGATTTATTACGAGATGCACCAAAATATGATATTGATGAGTAAGTTATTCAACAAAATATCTTCAAGTTATAGAAAATTTACAAATTTTTATTCTTTTTTTCTTGTATACAATTAAATAATGATTAAAAAAAACAAACAAAACTAATTCTTTAGATATTGGTGTGCTACACATGTTCTTCAAACTCAATATACAATTCAAATTGTTCGTTGTAATTCAATAACATGTTGTGGTCCATGGCGTTCAAATTATATTCAAGTATTTCCTCATCGATTTCTTCCAGCACCAGTACCATTTGAACGTACACCACGTGGTATTGCTATGGCTGAACGTGATTATCAAAAAGGTGTTTTTTATGGTTCATTAATTCAACGTATACAATTTCATGGGGTTGTTATGCAACATACACAAAATGATGTTTTACCATTTGATTTTTGTTGTGCAAGTGTAAGAAAAGAATTAAGACGACGTGTTTGTTCAATATGTAAACAATATATTCCATCAGCTTATCGAATGAAAAATCATTATAAAATTCATCAACAACAATATGCATCAAATTGTCTTGATTATGATGAAGAAATATTAATTAATGATAATTGTATAGAAAATGAACAAAATGGAGATGATGATACTGATATGCTTAGTAGTCAACGACCATTACCATCTGTATCAAATCCATCCGCTAATGGTGTTGTTATTTTTTCAGATATGCTTGATTGGTTAAAATCTGATTTTGAAGAACTTGAACTTAAAGAACAAATTACTAAAGATGTTGATAAAAAGAAACCAATTAATTAATGTAACTTTTTGTACACGTTGATGTGCGTGAATGTGTTTAACATTAATTTCTTTTTTCTCTTTTTTCTTTGTTTTTGTAGTTTTTTTTAGTCAATTTCATGTAATACATATTTAGAGATGTTTTTCTTTGTCTTTATTAATTTTAGTCTATTAAGCTTTTTTTTCTCTCTGTCAGTGAAAGAGTGCAAGTAAACAATTGATAACCAAATTAGAACATTTGAATTGAAGTTTTTCCTTTTTTTTTTTTCTTTCTTGCTTTCTTAAGTGTAACAATTTTCATGAAAAGAACTTTGTGTTTTTGAATGTTTAAATGAAATAAACTTGAACTCATCGCTGAAATGTTCTACTCATTTGAAATATATAAAGATATATTGAGGAAAAAAAAGAGAGATTGGTTTTTATAAAAATTGAGTTTTCGAAAATAAATTATTTAATTATAATTAATACATTTCGTCTATCGATTATTAGAGACTTTATTTCATTTGATAGTAATACAATAGAATTTTCCAGTTGTGTGTAATATGACTTTTTGTAAAAGATAAATAAACTATCAACTCAAGAAACTTCTATTAGTGAACACTTCTTAATTATAAATAGTCTTGGCTTCAATCAAGTGATTTTTACTGGGAAAGTCTCTATCTAATGTGAACGTCTCTTTATTCTAAACAATTTCTTTGCAGTTCTTCTTACTATGATAACCTTCCTAATATTAGCGCACGTGCAATGTCTTTTTTTTTATCTGTTTCATGTGTACGTATGAAGTGTATAATGACATCAGAACATGAATTTAGTTTGAAAATTAAAAAAAATTAATTATTGGATGACAAAAGGTAGAAAAACAACAGTGAAGAATTTTTGAAAAGAAAAAAACTAAATCTTGTGTTATAAGTAAAATATTTTTAAATTCAAATCATTTAGGAGAAGTAGCACAAAACTTCTTGGAATTGGGTTTAGAATTCAAACAGTTTGACTTCGCAGAGTTCTACTTGGAAACTTTTCCGCATTTTAGAAAGATTATACTGTACTATAATTGACTATCGTTCTTTTACAATAGTGTAAAATCATTGATTGAATATTCTCTTGTAAAAGAAAGTTACGAATCGAAAAAATTTTCAACTTCTTTTGTTTTGTAGGGAATCTTATAATTTAAAAGATTTACATGATTTAAATCATATAAAAAATTATTGCCATTTTATGATTGGTCTTTCTTAATAATCTTCATAAAAACATAAAGAAAATAAAATGACGCAAAAATGTATTTTTTTTGTCACATGAATATATTATTTGTATAGATTAACTTTATATATCTCACATTATTACGTAAGAATTTTTCCATATCATCTTATATGATTCACATTCAATTCCAGGGTTTAAATTTAAATACATATAGAAAATCGAACGTGTGTATTTTTCTTCTACTCCCATTTCTTATTCTGTTTATTATATATATATATATATGTTCGTTATACTAAAATACAAACATACACATTAACTCGAAGTATTCGTCATAGTCTTTTTTTTTTCCTCTCTTTAGAATATTTTTGAATACATCCTTAATAACTAATAAGAATAATTTTTTAAGTAAAACATATCAAAATTCTATCATAAATTGTTTGAACAAACGAAATATATCAAATTGAAATGGGCTGTAGACATTCATCATCACCACCAGAATCACCAATTAAATTAGTACAAAATGGTGGTCCAGTTATATTAAAAAGTAAAATATCAATACAGCGTACACAAGTTATTGATCAACGAATATCAAATGGTATGAAAACATCTAGATTATCAATATCTTCAAAAAAAGTAAATAATTATATGAAAAGATTTTTCTATGTTTAAAAAAAACAAATAAACTTTAGATATGTCGTTCATTATCTCGTTTAACAGTATCATTTGCAGCATTATCTCTCGAACAAACACTTGATGGTCATGGTAAACATTTAATTAAACGATTTGAACTTGATACACCTTGTCTTCTACTTGATGTTTCACGAACGCATACTCTATTAGTTGATGGTAGAAAACTTCGTCTAATTAATATGGAAACAATGAATATTGAAACAAATATTCTACCAATTGATTGTAAAGATATTCAAGAAATAGCTTGGTCATCAAAACTTAATACATTTCTTCTTCTTACAACTGATCAATTATATCAAACTAGTTGTAAACATTTACATCCAATACCTATTCATCAAATTCAGGTTAGATAATTGATTCGTAGACTATTATTGTTTTAATTCAAAAAAAGAATTTTTATTAAGTATAAATTAATAAAATAGCAGATGGGTCATGAATAATTGCATTTCAAGTATTTTCAAAACTTTTCTTCTATTTTTCGCTTGATTGTAATACCTTGTTTTGTTTAATTAAAAGATAGCGCTTGGTATTCTACACAAATTAGTATACTTCATTTAACGAATATAGTCTGCTCTATATTTTTAAGTCAAACGTAATTGTACTATAAAATCCAGTACCGAATGTGAATTCTTTTTTCCTTATTCAATTCGTACGACAAAACGTTTTATCTCATTCATCAATATTTCTTTTATGGTTCTAATTTATAGTTTCAATCAGTTCATTTTATAAACTATAATCTAACGGATTTAAATCAGACAGATTCGATGAATAATGTTTCTTCAGTATGAATGCAAGGAAATGATCCAAACATTGTTTTCCACTAACGCGTGCGAACTTCAAAAACATTCTGCTAAAATGAAATTTGCAAAAATAACCCGCTATTTTTTTGCACGGATCAGTCACGGTTGATTCTTTAACCTTCTGCTATGAGAAGTAGCTAACAAGGGAAGTCCTCCAACTGATTAATCACTTTTAAGTCGAAACTATATGCATTATGTAGGCCCTAATAAGTTATGAATACCCTGGACACAGTTTTGATCCTTAACTTCATTTTCATATTTCGAAACTCTCCCCATCGAAACAGGACTTGTCGACAACAGTTTGTTATGAAAGTTTTAGATATTTTCATTATTCCTATCCGAAGATACAACTATTACAAAACCTTGCCGTTGAAAGTGCTCTTCTACAGTAGCAGAGCCGATGTTCTTATGTCAGAATAGGAACAAATCAACAAACCTAAAAGTTTCGCAATAAACTATTCTCGTTAAGATTTCTTCCTATGCAAAGTTTCAAGTCGAAAATTTGAAAAAGAATTTTCCTACAATTCTTTAGAGAAACTACGGTATTGACTTGAAAAAATACCTTAAAAATGTAATATCTCCATAGCCATAAGCTAAGGGTTCGAACTGTTTTCAGGATGTTCATAGTTCATTAGGGTCTACATGATACATATAGTTCCGAATTCAAAGCGATTAATCAGTTGAAGAACTTTCTTTGTAAGATCTTCATGCAGTAACAGTGGTATGTGCCTTGTTTCAACAGGCAATTTTCTTGTTGATACCGATTTCTTGACAAGGATGTAGCACCAAGTCAGCATTGAGACATGCGATTTCGTTAGAACTATATTTAAACGATTGAGATGGTAGGATAAATTGATAGAGTCATTTTGAGATCATTGCATCTGATCTATCACTATTTTTTTCCGTTTATTTACATGTTTCCATTTTTCATCTTATTATTTTTAAATATATCTATAACAATTTTTGGATTTGTATCATATATGATTTTGTAGAGAATTTCAAGCGCTATCTTTTTATTGAAAAAAAAATCTTGTTTCCATAAAACAAAAGAAACTTTGAAAATACGAAAAGTACAAGTATTTATGAGTCATCAATTATTTGTTAATTTTTCTAGTTCATTGCTGAAGGTCCTCGAAAATCATACATGGCCGTAGATGGAGATGATTTACTTATAAATCGTTCATTTGGATATGATATTCGTCGTTATTCTCTTACAAATTTTAATCTTGTTCAATCACCTCGTGCATATAGAGAAAGTGAAAATATTTGTGTAACAACTATTCGATTAAATTCAAATAAAATTTTAGCTCTTGCTATTTCTATTTCTAAACAACAAATGATTGATTTAGTTAATTTAAATACTGATCAACTTATACATCGAATTAATTTTAATACAGGTGAAAATATTTTATATCCTATTGATTTACATAATCATGGACAATGGTTTGTTAAAACATGTACACCTTATGTTAATATTGGTCATTGTTTAATATCATTAAATGGACAAATTACAAGACTTACACTTTTTCCTAATCAAGATAATTTTATACGTTCTCTTTGTACAAGTCCTGATTATCGATGGTTACTTGTTGGTCGACAACATGCACTTGAATTGTATCAACTTTAAATATCATAATTATCTTTAGTTAAAGATTTTGTTGATGTTAGTCATGTTTCATTGAATTGATAGTGTTCATTTTATTATTATTAGTAGTATATATATATTGTGTGTGTGTGTTTTGATTTATATATGTAACTTTTATTTTTAGTTTTACTAGTGGAAACACAAAAAAAAAGAGAAACATGATATTTAAGCTGAAAATAGAAACAAATCTAACTATTTCTCTACGAATAGACTTTAAAATAGAATGTTTAATTTTTGTTTTATAAAGTAAGTTAAGATTTCATTAATTTAGAAATAACACATTTAACTAATGAGAAGTTTTTAAAATTGTTTGCATAAGGCAAAATGCGAATATATATAAAAATTTTATCATTATAAACAAGTTTTATTTTATATCGGATACTTCTATTAATCTTTGCAGATATTTTAAAGTAACTGAAAAAAAAAAGAAAATTTTCAAACTGTCATTAAAATATTTTAATTATTCCCTAAAGTATAATTGACATCAAGCAGAAGTCAATGAATTTTTTAAAATTAATAGTTTTTGAACCTATTAACAAATCAACTTTCTGATCAACAAATATATCTATCTTTTATTGTTTTAAGATCTTTACTTATAAAAAAAAACAAAAAAAGAAAATATTCTCAAATATTTATCTTAATCTTGTGTATATAATTAAATAGATAATGAGAATAAAAATCAGTTGATTCAGATTGATGCCATTTTCAATAAAAACAAACAAAAGAATTATTGTTTGCATCATTATATAACTAATAATCTTAATTCACAGATATCGTTCTGAATTTCTTCATGCAATAATATATGACATCTGGAAGGAATCCATTTTGAAGTACTACAGATGTGCGTCGATACCAATCAATATCAATGATGTTTACATAGATGAAAAGAAACTAATGATATGAACAAAGTTGTGTATATATATATATTACTATTGATTGTTCATCTGGAAAAAAAGTATATTGTTTTCGAATAATGTGGTTTCACTTATAATTACTTTCAAGATACATAAGAAATTACTTAGAGGATATAGATCAACTCATTTTTTTTATTCTTTTTTTTCTCTCATTAGAATTTAATATTTAAAATGATCTTGAATTTAATCAGAGAAATCAACAATGAGTTAT